ATGCAAAACGGGACGGAAAACATGAAATTTTGCAATAATCTTACGCCACCCTTGCATAAAACGACGATAATTTTGCTAATTTCATAGACAACAGAAGACTGAAGACAGAAGTATTTTTCTACATAACCCCCCCCCCTGAATTTAAAGCTGGATCCGCCCCTGAATGCCGATACATTTAAAGATATTCTTCATGACTTTTGCGCTCAAATTTAGAAATAGTCGCAAAAATGCGCGCATTTGGTTAAAAAATCACAACTCTCAAACTAGACCACATAGAAGGCTGAAAATTCGGACATTTTTTCTTTGGCCATTCTAACTTCTGAAGTGTGCAGAACTTGGATAGAATCAAAGCGATGGATCAGTTTTTGTAATTTTTCGAAATTGAGCTCAAGTTCAGCAATAATCGGACAAATGAAATAAATGAAAACCTTTAGAAAAAGGGTAGTATATACAGGGTGTCCCAATTGAAATAGCAAAGTTGATACTTTTGGCTATAAACTGTTTTCGAACAGCCTAAAGTTGCGTTTTCAGATTCGTTTAGACCATCTACGTCTGATTTACCACCAACCGTGAGCCAACCTGTACGTATAGTCAAGCAAAAAAATAATAACGTTTATTCTGTCTGATAGGAAATCAAAAAATGTGCCTTTGAAGAGTGTGCAAGTGCTGGAGCTTCCAGTGCTGGCGAATGAGACAGAAGAGTCTCCCTCAGACGCACTGCTGTTAACTGAAACCCAAAAGGCTGCACAGCTGGAAAGTTAACCAGGGCAAAGATCTCGAGTGTTATGATTTCCGACTTTAAACTCAAACAGTTTCCCAGTGTTAAGAATATTTTGGCAGGCAATGGTTTTTTTTATATAAAACTCAACCAGTTGGTTTCTGTGAAACTGATGTATCCGGTTACGTTTCCAATGTAAGTGATAAGGAGAAGGGTTGTATGGAGGAATTTGCATATTATTTTTGTATTATGCAACCATCACTCTCAATAAAAAATAAATAACAACGTTTGCCTTTGCTTTGGCTCACTTCCTATGGGCTATAGAAAACAAAACCACAATTTCGGTCTTCAGGCGCACATGCACACCGTTTCATATATGATTTTTACTAGTTCATCACAATGACGCTATTCTTTGCACTTCACACAGTCAATGTAGAAAAGTTAAACAATCAAATCGGTGGATCTGGCTTTTCCTATGGGACGAGTGATTAAGGTTTTCGATCGAGGCACTCCGGTCAAACTTGCCGTCTATAAAATACAGAAACAACACTAAACTATTCTTATTCCAAGTTTGCTCTCGACTTGTTAGTTCGGTGTGTTAGTGCTTCTTCATACTGTTTGTTAGCTGTTGATGAATGGGGCAACGGTCGATTTAATGTGCTCATTCTCGCTTAGGACGTGTGAATTCTGTGAATTACTTATGTTCGAAATTTCGGGTTTTTTTGGACTCAACAGGCGTCTTGGACAGATTAGGACACGCTTAACACTTAACACACGCGCTTCCAGGCTTTAATAAATATGAATTGTTAGCCACAAGTATAACAACAAAATGCAATTACCACAAAGAACGGATGAGCCACTCAGCAATCGAACTCACTCACGTCAACAGTCACATTGGATGATTTGACCGTATGAAGTCCAATTCTTACCCTGTACGTGTTGACGTACCTTCGCTTATTAAAGAAATAAATATTTACCTCCAAGTCTCGAGGGGTTCGGTACTCGGACGCATTTCTACTGATACCGTGATGGTAGGGGTTGAATTTTTGGGAATTGTGGCTCTTGAGCGAGGACAGTTGCATGGTGTCCTGGCGCTTCTTGCTGCGCTCGAAAAACAGTTGCTTGAACGTGCTTCGGAACTTTTTCGACATGATGCTGTAGAGCAGGAAATTGCAGGCTGCGTTCACTGTTAGCAGGGCGTTGAAAACGTTACCTAAAACTGGAAGGCAAGTTCGGCTCAGAATCGTTTAATCTGACTGGGCGAAAACTGCTTACTGCTTTGGATGTTTTTATCGCGACCAGATACAGGCGGGTAGAAGTTGTAGTAAATCAGGTACGAAGCGGTAGGCGATTGGCAGATTAAAAACATCACCACCACTGCGATCAGCATGATGGTAATGCGGTTTTCGTTTGATATCGCCGCATTTTCACTCTGAAATCAACACATTTTTTGAATCAATGTATCGAATGTGGGACCGATCTCTTGATTACGCAAAACGCGGCCTCATTTTTGAATGAAAATTTTCTGAAAATGTCTTAAATTCTACATCATTTTCGGCTCACGGACGCCAGGAATGCATCGAACTCATTGAAAAACATGCTAGCAGTTTCAGATCCGAAATAATAGACATTTTCGGTACATTTTAAGTGTTTTTTGAGCCTTTACGATCTTTATCCGACGATTTATTTCTTATTATTGACCCAAACACTTTATAATGCATGTTGGTGACCTTCTTACATCGAAACGAATCGATTGAGCTCAAAAAACAGGCTTGTAAAATTTTAATTTTTAGTCGAAATTTTTCTAAGGGGGGGGGGGTCGATTTTTCGAAAAAAATTAAATTTTCTCAAAATGTCATCGAACTCATTGAAAAACATGGTAGAGGTTTCAGATCAGAAATAAAAGACATTTTCGGCACATTTTAAGCGGTTTTTGAGAGTTCACGATCTTTAACCGACTATTTCTTCCTTATTATTGACCCAAATTCTTACATCGAAAGGAATCGATTGAGCTAAAAAAACAGGCTTGTAAGATTTTGATTTTTAGTCGAAACTTTTCTAAGGGTGCGGGTCGATTTTTCGAAAAACATTAAAATTTTCTCAAAATATCTTAAATTTTATATCATTTTCAGCTCACTGACGCCCGGAATGGATAGAACTCATTGAAAAACATGGTAGAGGTTTCAGATCCGAAATAATCGACATTTTCGGCATAATTTAAGCGTTTTTTGAGCGTTCACGATCTTTAACCGACGATTTCTTCCATATTATTAACCCAAATGCTTTATAAATGTATATTTGTGACCTTCTTACATCGAAAGGAATCGATTGAGCTAAAAAAACCCTCATGTAAAATTTTTATTTTTGATCGAAATTTTTCTAAGGGTGGGGGTCGATTTTTCAAAAAAATTTAAATGTTCTCTAAATGTCTTAAATTTTACATCATTTTCAGCTCACGGACGCGAGAAATGCATCGAACTCATTGAAAAACATGGTAGAAGTTTCAGATCCGAAATAATAGCCATTTCGGCACATTTTAAGCGCTTTTTGAGCGTTCACGATCTTTAACCGACTATTTCTTCCTTGTTATTGACCCAAATGCTTCATAAATGCATATTTGTGACCTTCTTACATGGAAAGGAATCGATTGAGCTGAAAGAACACGCATGTAAAATTTTTATTTTTGACCGAAATTTTTCTAAAGGTGGAGGTCGATTTTTTTTTAAATGAAAATTTTCACAATGTCTTAAATTTTACATCATTCTCAGCGCCCGGACGCGAGGAATTCATCAAACTCATTTAAAAACACGCTAGAAGTTTCAGTTCCGAAATAATAGACATTTTCGGCAAATTGTAAGCGTTTTTTGGGCGTTCACAATATTTACCATACGATTTCTTCCATATTATTGACCCAAATGCTTTATAAATGTATATTTGTCACCTTCTTACATCGAAAGGAATCGATTGAGCTCAAAAAACCCGCATGTGAAATTTTGATTTTTGGTCGAAATTTTTCCAAGGTTGGGCTTTGTTTTATTTGCAGGCCGGAGCGGAGGCCCTAAAAATGAAGCCAACAACGTGAGTGTTGTTCAAAGTGCCGCGTCGTAAGAGGCCAGGTGTCGCGGCACATCGACATACAGAGCGGCATTAACACACAAGTGTCAACACACTGACACGATTGCTCGAAGGGCTCGACACAACAACTACTTCAACATCCACTGGATGTCGAAGTCTGCCAATGAATTGATCGAACTCTAGTTGCAAAACGGTGATTTTTAGTGGCAAATTTTCGGACATTGTGTAAAAAGAAAGTCGAAATCGACGTGGTGCCAAAAGCAACAACATTATGGATAGTAAAAAGTCCATTATTTTCCTCAACTAAATCAACATCTCACATATCGGGTTTATTTGCGGCCTGCCAGCTAAGTAAATTAGCAGGAGCGGTGTGTATTTATTCGAAATCGGAATGACCACCGATTTTTCAGCCAATGAACTTAGAGGCTAATTATGTACCTGTCCAAAGTGGATGCCATCGTTATTTTTTTAAGTGTTAGGACCCATTTTTTTCCGAGGCGAAAAAATAACCATTCCAGAAACTAAGTAGGACGCAATAAGCGAACATGAACTTGCCGAAGATATGCCAGAAAAGCAGGATTTTGAAGAACGCTCTATGAGAACCTGTTTCAAAATAAAGGGCATTTGCCATTGCGAATGATTTCGAAGATATGTTGAGGCGGAAAACATTGGATAAGGTCTTACCTGTGAAGTCTGTGTGTTAGTTCGAGTCATGGACTTCCGTTTCTTCTGCGAAATGTATACAGCGCTGATCAGAAAGCAGTTGAAGGTCGCAATGAGCACTAAAGGCACAATTCCCCAAACCATCGCACTGTACCAGTACATGAAACTGGTATATTTCTGGTTCTTTCCCAGATTGGTGTTCTCCACATCAATGTACAGCTTGGTGACGCAGCACGATCTCAAGCTCTCGTTCACTGCTGTATCATTTTGAACGTCCAAGTCGAATTCATCATTGTCCTCTTCCAAGACACTCTCATCGATCGTTTTGTGCACAATGGCCACATTGGGCAAGTTCACATTGGTGCTGTCCGGGATGCTTCTTGGCTGCGAAACGTTGCCGAGTTGAGGATAAACGAAGATTATGTGAGGATGATTGCTGGTGCAATTAACCAGGATCTTCTTCAGCGCATCGGTTAAAACTGGGTCGTTGAACACGTTCAGCGAATTGCCGCTCTCCAGCTTTCGATCTCGGCTCACGCTCACATTGTTCGGGATGAAATGGATGGAACTGGAATTGTTTCCAGTATAGTTGGCTGATGATAGTCTGCCCGGGTCGATTTGGCACTTGGAGCACGTTACAGTATCATTTAGCGTCAGTTGATACTCGAATGTGGTGGAAGCGGTGGTGAGGATGCAGAATATGTAGACGATAACAGTGACGGTTTTGGCACGATTTTCCGTGCAGAAGAACTTGCCCTTCATCGGGTGGCACACTGCGATGTAGCGTTCTATCGTGAATGAAACTGTAAGCCAGACCGATGTGCTACCTGAACAAAGAAATAAAATTTATTGGCAAAATATGACCAACTGAACAAGTAGGTTTTGCTGATAAGTCTCCTTAGCTTGTGATCTGTATTTCTGTAAGCTATTGGCTCTAGTACGCGCAAGGGTTCCAGAAGAGATTTAGCACCCGTCTTGAAAGTTTTTCGTCACTTTGGTAATTTTTTGTGTAAATTATTCATTTATCGGTTTTCTCAAAAAATGCTTGAATTCAAGAGGTTTTAGATTTGCGGGTTTCTCATTGAGTTGCAAAATCCACTTGAACATGACGCTGTTTTTTTCGACGTTTCTCAAGAACCATTCGAGACAGAGAACTCGTTTTGGCATGGTTGGATAGAGAATTGAAAAGTCGATTCAGTCGTAACAACTTGAGTGAGGAAATTCGAGTAGTTTTGACCCAGAAAGCGAAATTTGGATATCAGACACTTAGGTGCAAGATTATGCCAAAATTTCATGTTTTCTGTCCCGTTTTTGCTCATTTCTCGGAGGCAAAATGAGCAAGAACGCTCATTTGTACATCATT